CTTCTATGTAGAGGGCAGATGGAACCAAGCATTCAAGCTGTGTGATGGGCAGAGCAGCTCAGTTAGGGACCAGCCCAAGGGCCGTGCCCAGCTGCTTTGCCCATAAGGAAGAGGCTTCTGCTTGGAGTTTGCAGCCTTCTTCCACAGAAGGTTGTGAGAGGCACTTAGGCCACCTGGAGGAAGCTTGCTGAATTGGTCCTGCATAAAAAAGCAGGGCTGTCACCAAATGAGTCCCGAGTCCCAGGATTTAGGGAAGAACAAGATTAGTTCTTCCTAATCTTGTGAGAAAGCTCATAGGCACCACCAGTGATAGCAGTCCCTGAATTTCTCTTGAATTTCCATGACAGGACCCCAAGCACAAGAGAAAATACGTTTCTGAATATGCAGGGATGAGCCAAGCCTGCTCAGCCCAAGTGGTCAGCAAGCACAGCACCCCACAGGACTACAAGGCAGCCGTGACATCAGAGCCTGCGCAGGTACAACCAGATGTTGGGCTGCAGTCATAGTGTTCCCTAAGTACGGGGCTCCAGCCAAGCTGGGTGTGGGAACTGTGGGAACTCCAATACCTTGGAAGCCTTAGCAGCAGCTGCACTGCCCTGATTCCTCCCATGACTTGCTATCAGAGGCACCAGGACACCTGGCATGCATTCACCCCACACCCTATAGTGACCTTCCCACTCTGGTAGGAGCTGCAGCTGGCAGGGCTCTGCCCCATGCACTTCCATCCTGGACTTACAGTCAGTAGCTTCAGACACTCGGACAAGCCTGGTGATGTGGGTCAGTGTTGCTGTGTACAGTGCCTAGAGCACCCCTGCTTGTCTCCAGGGGCCCATTCCCATCTTGACATGTACTGTCCTGGATCCTTATCCTGGAGGGGAGCAGGGAAGGAAGGCTGTCGCACCCCAGACAGCTGGAGAGAGGGTGGCCATCAAAGGCAACTTCCTTAACTTTCAGAGACAGCACAAAATCCCCACAGGGACTTTGAAGTCAGTTCGTCAGAAAGAAGACAAGTCTCTGAAGCGACCCCAGTCTCAAGAGGTCCCCGAAGAAAGTGATCCCCACACCCACAGATCGTCCTCACTGGCCAGCAGTTCCCTCCAAGACACTTGGAAGCTGCTAGACCTCGGGTCCAGTCTTTCAGGCCTCCCCTCCCAGGACGACTCTGCTGCAGGTAGGATGCCGCCAGCAGGATGGGGGTGGCCAAGGGGTGGGGATTGTGTGGCTGTCATGCTTTGAAGTGACTGGGGTCAGTGTGCTGTGTTCTTTCTGCCCTCTGGATCAGCTGGGCCCATGTGCCTCACCTCTTCTGTGGAGTCGGAATGTTACAAGCCATACAACACAGCCCTGCAGAACAGAAACCATGTCACACACCATGTCCTAGGGGGTTTACTGGAGTGGGATCCACTTCTGCACCACACCTCTGGCTGCTGGAGGGGAAGTGGTCAGCCTCATGGGAGTGCAACAGCAGCAACTCACCTGAGACAGGGTAGTACAGTGACCCTGGTTCTTGTTCTGATTTTGTTATTTTTAAGACAGAGCCTTGCCTGGCCTGGAACTTGCTTCAGTCCTCCTGCCTCTACCTCCCGGTACTGGAATTACAGGCATGTGCCACTATACCCACAACCTCCTGGGTTTTGCAAGGTATAGATCACTGGTGGTTTTAAGAGTGGTCTCAGTAGAATAGTGGTCATTACTCCTGCCTCCTTGGCTGAGTAGCCTGAGCTGAGGGGTGGACAACTCAGGAAGCATCAATGAGGAGGCCATAGTCTAGGGAGAGGTAGAGCCAGGGACAGGCTATGGAAAGCCTGTCATGTGCACGTGGGTGAAGTGGGGAAAGGTAGGGACAAGCTCAGAGAGAAGTCCTGCAGGAGGCGAGGGGTTCCCACCTCTGGCTATGCTGACCTTGGACAGGACAGCTATCTCATCCTGGTGAGGACAGGGGCAAAGGCTCTGAAGTGGTGTGGGCCGGCTGCTAGAGCTGGGGGCTTGTGCTCAGCAGAGCAATAGGTGAGCCTGCACAGCTGCCTCGGCCTTCAGGGAGCCTCTCTGACCCTTGAATGGTAGCTGCTAGGCCCCCTGCCCAGGAAAGCTGGGCACTATGAGTGCAGCCTAGTCGTTCACTGATCCATTAGGTTGTGCTGGCCTGGCATCTTGAAGGCCTGAGTGTAACGCAGTGGACTGTGAGATGTTTTTCCTTTGTGTAAAAATGCTGTAAAACCTGGACTGGAGAGATGGGTCAGCAGTTAGAGCCCTGACTGCTCTTGCAGAAGACCTGGGATCACCCACATGGCAGCTGACAACTGTCCATAACTCCAGTTCCAGGAGATCTGACACCCCCTTCTGACCTCCATGGGCATTGCACGACATGGGCGCACTTACATACATGCAGGCACTACACGCATACACATAAAAAAAATGCCTTTAGGGGCTAGAGAGATGGCTCAGTGGTTAAGAGCACTGACTGCTCTTGCAGAGGACCTAGGTTCGATTCTCAGCACCCACATGGTGGTTATGAACCGTCCTTACCTCCAGTTCCAGGGGAATCCAAAGCCCTCTTCTGATCTCCACGGCATTGCACGACACGGGTGCACTCACATACACTCAGACACATAAAATAATTAAAAAATGCCTTTAAAACCTTGACAACCTTATTTCAGGACGCAGTGATTCCTCAGGGGATGAGGTCTCTGGTGAAGATATGATTGAACTCACCTTGTTAGTGGGTGGGATAGGACCAGTCCCCAAACAGCCTATGGGCTCTACTCCAGACGCCAGGGTGGAATTTCCTGAGTTGTTTTTGGGTTTGTTCACTTTCAGTGCATTGTAAGTAGCAGACTACACCACAGCCCTGAGCAATGAGCAGTGCCGGTGACAGCGCAGAAGCAGCAGCCTGTAGTAGTGTCCAGGGAACCACACGGGACCACTGAGGAGCCAGACTGTAGTTTATTTGAAGCCCACCTGTAGTCTGTAATCCCTGCACGTAGGAGGCTCATGGGTTTGAAGCATCCTGGACTACATGCTGATACCGTCTGGAGGATGGGCTAACCTGCTTCTACGTCAGCACTACCCACCCCCTCAGCACACACTGGCTTCCTCGCTCACCTTTCTAGGCCCTGCCAAGATCAGACCAGGGCCTCAGCCCCACCAGCAGCTCTAAACATCTTGGGATCACCCATAAACTAAATACCTGAGGCCACACCCCCATATGCATCCCCTCCACCCCCAGCTTCCACAGCTCACCCATGTGCCAGGCCCCCAGCTTCTGTCCACCCGTGAGCCAGGCCTCCTCTCACCCATATTGTTGCAACAGCCTCAGGGCTCTTGAGCATTGCTGGCCCGGGCCTCTGTCCCACTCTCTGGCTTCCTTCTTGCATCACTGCGTAGCCCAGGCGCCCAGCTCCCACCTCCAGGCACAAGTAGGCACTGCCATCCCAGGAGTCCCTCACATATCCCAGGGCCTCCCCCCACTCCTACCCTGCCTCCCCAATACCTGCCTCCTCCCCTCAACAAAACCCTCTCCAGTCCTAACAGGTCAGTCCCCACCCAGCTTCCTCTTTCCAATACCAGCTCCCAGGCCTTTCTGGATTTTTTTTTTTTAATCATGATTCCCTTCTTTCTCTACTGAGATGGTCCCTAAAGGTGGGGACACCAAAGAGGCTTTGTCTGGATCCCAGGCCCCTCCTAATACCAATCAGCCAGTGTAAATAAAGGAAGAATGGGAACCTGCAGCCCAGAGGGCCAGAAGGAATCTCAGAAAGAGGGTGGGTGACTGACTAGAGATATTGCCTAGCATGGGCTAGTGGTAGAGCCCTACCCCAGCACCCAGTGTGCAGGAAGCTCCAAATCCATCCTCAGTACACACACACACACACACACACACACACATATACATTGGGAGTGGGTCACATTAACACAAGAATGTCCAGGGCAGAACTTAACTAGTTAAGTGGGCAGGTGTGGCATACAGCTGTGGACCTAGCTGTTCCAGGGGCCGAGGTAGGAGTTTTAGTCCAGCCTTGGCAGCATTGTGAGACACTCAAAATGTAGCTCCGCAGTGGAGGCTTGCCTCCCATTTCCAGGGCCCTGGGTTTGTCCCCAGCACCACAAATAATAGTAAAGATCAAACTGAAAGGTGCCTTATGCATTACAACAAAGGTAGTTGTATCTAAATAGCTGGTCCACACCTGGCCAGATACCTCTAAGGACCACAGGTTCCAGCCAGGGGCTCGTGTGAGAGCCCTACCCCAGCCCCCAGTGTGCAGGAAGCTCCCAATCCATCCTCAGTGCACACACACACACACACACACACACACACACACATATACATTGGGAGTGGGTCACATTAACACAAGAATGTCCAGGGCAGAACTTAACTAGTTAAGTGGGCAGGTGTGGCATACAGCTGTGGACCTAGCTGTTCCAGGGGCCGAGGTAGGAGTTTTAGTCCAGCCTTGGCAGCATTGTGAGACACTCAAAATGTAGCTCCGCAGTGGAGGCTTGCCTCCCATTTCCAGGGCCCTGGGTTTGTCCCCAGCACCACAAATAATAGTAAAGATCAAACTGAAAGGTGCCTTATGCATTACAACAAAGGTAGTTGTATCTAAATAGCTGGTCCACACCTGGCCAGATACCTCTAAGGACCACAGGTTCCAGCCAGGGGCTCCAGGAGACTTCCCCCACCGAAGCACCTGTTTCCAAAGCTCGGTCCAGAAGCAGGCCTCTTCTACCTTCTTAGAGTGCAATTATTGGTGCCCTAAATGTCTTCCAAGAGTTCTGACAAAGGACCACCTCCCTGGAGCAAAGAGCCCCCAGAGCATCCTGATTATGCCTTCTGCCTCCCTGGGCTGAAAAGCAATCTGTACAGGCCTCAGCTGGAACACCAGCCTCCTTTACCTGACATCAGTCCACCCACTGCAAGTTCCCTTCCACCTACCCAGCTTCCAGGGCCAGGTGTGCTGTTTCTCTAAACACGCCTATGTGACACCCTTTTGCTTCCAACAGCATGTAGCTCTGGGTGACCTGCTTTTTTGCTGTATGTAGATATCTTTTCATTGTGCTTGGGCTGGCAAGTCTTCTGAGTGGTCCAAGCACTTAACAAGCCCACTTTGTTTCAAGGTCTCACTCCTGTACGCAGGTCACGTGTGGTCTTCAGTTCTTGAGATGGGGCTGCAGAACATGTTCTTGTTTTTGTGGGAGCCCTTGGTTGGATAACTATCTAGAAGAGAAATAGCTGGGTCAAAGGTATGGGTAGTTTGAAGTATTACCAAATCGTTCTAAAAATCCTGGCCCTCTGCCTACTGCTGCCCACGGGTAGAGGGCACCTCTCCTCACTCCAGTGCCCTGGGCTTTGTCTGATATCTTTTTTATCCTGTCTGATAAATGAAAACTGATACTTTTTTGTTGCTTTTAATTCACAATTTCTTTCTGAAATGGTCTCGTGTAGCTCGGGCTGGCCTAGGCTCTGTATAGCTGAGGATGACATTGAACTTCTGGTTCTGCGACCTCCAACTCCTTAATGTGCTGTTGTGAAGCGTGGACATTTCATGTGTGATTTATGTGGACTTGTGTCCATTTTGTAGGGGATGAGGGAAGCTGGAGATGTAGATAGCAGGCTCACTGGGACTTCTAAAGGCTAGCAATAGATGGTAGACAAGCCATCTAGAAAGGGACCCTGCGCCTTGGAAAGGGACAGGGTGCTGGGAGGCCAGAGGCAAGGCCTCAGGCCTATACTTGCAGGAACTAGGGACTAAGGGAGTTCCAGGAAGGCTGTGGCCTGACCAGCCACTGTCTGGAAGATACCCTCAGTGCCAGGGAAGTTCTTGGTGTGAAGTGTGTGAGATGTATCTTGATCCCACTTTCAAGTGGAAACTGAGACCAGGTTTCAAAATGGCCACCCAGTGTTCCTGACCAGCATTCTGCTCCCATGAGCTCCAGAAAGGACAGACCAGACCAGACCAGAACTGGGAGGAAAGGACGGGCGTGGCAGGAGAGCTAGGATTGTCTTAGGGCCAAAGGGTCATGGGTGGGGGAAGCTCTGGAGGAATTTGGCTGCTGGTTGGGACTAGTCCAGCCCCTCCCAGCTCTCCCCTCCCCTCCACTGGGTTCCCACTGTTTGCCCAGCTCCTCCCACCAATGGACAGTGGTTTAGGGAGAAGGTAGTGCAGTGCAATGGTTTGACTGGTTTTTTTCTTTAAAATATTGTCCTGGGGCTAGAGAGATGGCTCAGGGAGTTAAGAGTGCATACTGCTCTTGTAGAAGTTTAAAACTTTGTTCTTTTGATCTCACCCTCATGGTACAAGTCTATAATCCCAGTACTGGGGAGATGGAGGCAAGAGGATCACCAGGAATTCAAGGACAACTTGGGCTAGTGAGTTCAAAGCCAGCCTGGGCTACATGAACCCTAATTCATAAAGAAAAAAAATGTTTGTTGTTTGAAATAACCCTAACCCTAACCCTAACCCTAAACAAAAGTTCACTGTGGGGGAAAAAAACAAGAGTCCACTTTGGGACCTGGGGAGATGGCTCAGTGGATAAAGTGTTTGCTTGGGCAAGCATAAGGACCTGAGTTTAGATCCCCAGCCCACACATAAAAGAACCAAGTGTGTGGGGTGCATGGACTTTGGCAGACCCTGGGGCCTTGCCATCCAGCCAGCCTAGCTAAAACAGCAAGCTCCAGAGTTGGTAGGAAGCCCTGTGTCAGAAAGCAAGGAAAACCCTGGGGAGAGGGCTCAGTGGTAAGTTAAAGGTGCTGCCCAACCTGAAGACTGGAGTTCTAGCCCTGCAACAAGCTGACCTCTGACATGTCATATGCACACAATCACAACGGTGTGCCCTCACAGATACACAAATAAATGTCATTTTAAAAAGCTCTTGCTGGGCGTGGTGGCGCACACCTTTTAATCCCAGCACTCGGGAGGCAGAGGCAGGCGGATCTTTGTGAGTTCAAGGCCAGCCTGGTCTACATAGTGAGTTCCAGGACAGCTGGAGCTACAGGGAGACCCTGTCTCAAAAAGACAAAAAAAAAAAAAAGCTCTCTAAAAAAAAGAAAGAAATGAAGTGGAGAACATGGAGAAAAATAACCAAAGTAGACCTCAGGCCTCCATACACGTAGGTACAGGTAAGCAAGCACACACGTGCGCACACACACACACACACACACACACACACACACACACACACATAAACAACACACAAAAATTTTTTTTTGTCTATTTTTTTTTTTTCAGAGCTGAGGACCAAACCCAGGGCCTTGTACTTGCTACGCAAGCGCTCTACCACTGAGCTAAGTCCCCAGCCCTTTAATTTTATTTATTATTTTTATGTGTATGCCTGTATTGCCCGCATATAGGTAAGTGCACCCTTGTGTGCAATGCCTGCGGGGGACAGAAGAGGCTGTCAGATCCCCTGGAACTGGAGTTACGGACAGTTGTTGGCTGCCATGTGGGTGCTGGGATTCAAACCCAGGTCCTCTGCAAGAACAGCCAGTGTTCTTAACCGCTGAGCCATCTCTCCAGCCCCCACACAGTTTTTTAAAAATTAAAAATGTTTAATTTTGAATACTGCCACTTAATTAAATCAGACAAGGTGTGGGCCGATCCCAGAGTTTGCAGGCTAGGAACTGCACACTCCGGCAGCCAGGCAGCCGTGCCTGAGTGCCCTCCAGCCAACCACTAGGCAGCCTGGTGGGCCCAGCAGCAGCCTCACTGATGCCAATTGAAACTGGCCTGATGAGTGAGTGGTTCACATCTCTGATCTCAGCTCTGGGGAACCTGAGGCTGGAGGATCAATTGTTAGTTAAGGCTAGCCTGGGCTACATAGCAAGACCCTATATCATAAAAAAGAAAAATTGGATGTGGCATGTGCACACCTGTAATCCCAGCACTCAGAGGGCAGAGGTAGGTGACTAAGAAGTTTGAGGCCAACCTGGGCTATATGAGACCTTGTTTCTAAAGCCAACTAAAGAAGAGGGAGAAGGGAGGGGAAGATCTAGGAAAAGAAGAGGAGTACTGTGTGGGGAATCTGGCAGCCCCTCTGCCTGGTTCCTGCAGGTTCCAGGGAGCAGGTGAGCTTCAGGCTGGTGACGTGGGTCTTCAGAGTGAGTGACTCCATTTTGATGTTTATTCTGGTCTGTTGGTGCTTAGTCCCCAACCTGGCCTCTGACGTTTATTACCTGGATGGAGTCCCTGACACCAGACCCACCATCTGGCCTCTAGGATGCTTTGTGTTTCCTGTGAAACCTGAGATGAGCTCAGAAAGCAGTCAAGATGTCCTCCTGGGGGGATGGTAATGATCTGGGTGTGATGCTGATTTGTGATAAGAAAAAACAACTGAAAATCACACAGGATGGGTGATTTCCAAGGGCAGTTTGTGACAGCTGTGAACTGACCTGGAACACAGTGTTCTGTTCCTGCTGTTTCTCACACTTCTACACCTGGACTGGAAGGTGGACATCAGGCTCTTGGTGACAAAGGAAGAGCCCAGGGACAACTCCAGGAGGAAGAGGCAAAGCCTGCCAGGGGCCTGGCATCTGAGCTCCAGGAACTTGTACTGAGAGGGCAGAGAAAGGCTCCTGTAGAGCTGACTCACATCCCCCTGGCCCACTATCACAGCAGTCTTGCACCAGAACTAGCACCGTGCTTGTTGCCCATAAGGTCAAGGCTCCTGTTCCAGTTCCCAGCGGTGCTGTCCATGGCTCTGCTGATGAATACCAACCAGTCACTGACGAGAGTCCTCTGAGATCCCTGCACATAGCCCCACGTCATCTTCTTGGAACTGCGGTTTCAGAAACCTGTGCAGGTCCTGAGGTGAATGAGCAACCAGTTTCCTGCCTGTGCTGAGGCTCCTTTTCAGGGCAGAGGACCTGCCACAATTTTGAGAAATTGATGCCCAAGAAATCTTTGTTAGCTCTTTTGAAATCGTCATGACGAAATAATGTCTGCCACTCAGGAAAGTAACATGTTGAAGTTACTTCTAAATCAAAGCAAATATATTAAGAAATAATCAAATTGGCTTGCCCTTTAGTGGTATTTATTCTAGGGCCATAGAATGCCTGGCACCCACTTCTGCTTCTGCCAGGCCATGGGGCTAAGGACAAGACTTTAAGGTAGCCCCATAAACAACTGGCTAACTGAACCATATATGCGAAACAACTGTTTGCAAACAGGCAGCACTGCCTATGACCCTTGAAACGGGAACAGAAGAAGCCGGCTCCAGATCACATGGCGGACAGAACCTCTGGGCTGCAGGGAACAGGTGGACACAGACAGATGCTGTACCAGGGAAATGGAAAACAGAGCTTAGGGAAACAAGGGGGTTGGAGCTTTGAAGATAGAACCTGGAAGGATGGAACTATGCAGAAAAGAGCCCCAGAGACATCGTGTAACTTCTGTGGGTCTCTGAATACTAGCCTACAACTCCACAGAATAAAATTCCACAGCCCAGCAAAGGAAACACTGGGTTGGAGAAGACCTGGATGGTAGAGCGCTTATCTAGCGTGCTCAAGGCTCTGTTCATCCCAGTACCACAAAATTAAAAACAGCACGTACAGGAGGATTGCCACAAGTTCAAGGCCAGCCTAGTCTACAAGTCAAGCCAGGAGGACAACTGAGACCCTGCCTCAACACTCCCCAACTAAATAAAAAAGTTTGAGGCCAGCCTAGGATACATATCTTGAGACTTTACCCAAACAAAACAAAAAATGGGGGGGGGGGATGACTAATAAGATGAAGTTTCCAGAACTCTGCTAGGACATTCTGACAACATGAGTGTGGCCATCCTGGGAGAAATGAGCTGTACAGGACTGGCTGCATGGGGGAGCCTCATCTGCTTTTGTGGCCTCAGGGTGCCCAGATGGTAGTCCAGCTGCACCCCAACCAAACACAGACCTCTGAGACAGAAGGAAATTTCAGAAACATGGAAAAATGTCTAGCATCCTATTATAATTTCTTTTTTTTAGATTTAAAAAAATTTGTATGAAATTTTAAAAATGCAATAAAAATTTTATTTTTTTATGTATATGAGTGCATTGCCTGCATGTATGTAAATACACCCATCTTTTGAAATGCCCACAGAGAACAAAAGAGGGCGTCAGATCCCCTAGAACTGGAGTTATGGACAGTTGTTAGCTGCCATGTGGGTTCTGGGATTTGAACTCGTCTTCTGCAAGAGCAGCCAGAGCTCTAACTGCTGAGCCATCTCATAGATGATAAGAGGTGA